ATAAAATGTACAGTGATTGTTTATGGTTTTAAAAGTAGTCACAGTTCATCAGAGTGAATTTGCTATTCAAATAAACTTGCCTTGCCTTAAAACTTAACGTCTAAACTTAAAGGGTTATAATACATACTAGTTTTGATTTAGTTTTAATTTAATTTTAGTGGACAAAATTCAAAACAAATTTAGTGAACATAAACTATATATTTTTTCATACTTTATTTACTCGTCACTTTACCTGCTGCTATTATTACTATTGTTTATTCTGCTCATATTCTCCGCTACAATGGGCCTCATTCACGAATAACTTCTTAAGAACAACTTGAAGAAATTTAAGAAGTTTCTTAAGTAGATTTCTAAGAAGACCCTCTGTGGGATTCATCAACACGCTCGTAAGCCGCTGAATTGTTCGCAGCTGTTCTCTCAGATTGATGAATGCCAACTCCTCGTAAGTAGAGCGCGCATGCCAGGTGATTCTTTAGCATAGGTACTTAGCATAGGTAACCGCCCATTAATGTCCATAAAAGGGACTGCAGGGCCGTGTGCAGACGCCAGAGGAGCAAAAAAGCCACCCTTTTTTCTTCTTTTGCCAAACTAAGATTAATCTAAAAATATTATGAGATTAATCTCAAAATGTTATGAGATTAATCTCAAAATGTTATGAGATTAATCTCAATATGTTATGAGATTAATCTCAAAATGTTATGAGATTAATAAAACAATATATTATGTATTCATTTTAAAATGAATCTCAAAATGTTGTGAAATTAATCTCAAAATATTTTGGACCCTGGGAGGAGATCCAGCGTGTGAGACAAATGTAGACCCGAGGAGGGACATAGACTGGAAAGAACAGCACACAGAAACCAGCGCGGACCGAGGAAAGACCATGGACAGGAGAGACCGTAGACAGGAGAGACCGCAGACTGGAGAGACCGCAGACTGGAGAGACCGCAGACTGGAGAGACCGCAGACTGGAGAGACCGCAGACTGGAGAGACCGCAGACTGGAGAGACCGCAGACTGGAGAGACCGCAGACTGGAGAGACCGCAGACTGGAGAGACCGCAGACTGGAGAGACCGCAGACTGGAGAGACCAGCGCAGACCGAAGAGAGACCGCATATAGACTGGAGAGACCAGCGCGGTCCTGTAATGGATCCATGGGAGAGACCAGCGCGGACCCGTGTCCATTGGAGAGACCAGAGCGGACCCGTATAGATCCATGGGAGAGACCAGCGCAGAAGGTCAGCGCAGACCCCGCAACCTCCTGCAGCAGCAGTATATAGGCCATTGTTCTGTGGCCCGTGGATGGAGAAATGCCCCGAAAAATAGGCTAAATTACCATTAATAATTAAATAAATAAATAAATACATACATCAATATGACATAGGACATATCACTGTAATGTGGGTTTTATTGAACTTCACAAAAGAAGACAACACCAGCGTTCAAACATGTTGGCACTGAATGTGCGTAAGAGTGCTCCTGAGCATTCGTAGGATTTGTACTTAGCCAAGAGAAATTCTGGTTTACAAGAAAATTTTGTGAATGCCACAAACTTCGTAAAACCCTCGTAAGTAGGAGCAGAATATAAAATGCAAAAATAATCGTTCTGTCAAAATGATATTTTTTGTCGTCCGATTTATGTCTCAACGTTCTGTTAGAACAAACATGTTTTTTAGTCCGGACGGTCAGGGCAGAACTGTGATGGAAACAGCCGTGTTCTTTGCCGTTTCGCGAGTGAATAAATTACAGCTGAAATCTAATCATGAGGCTGTTTGGCAGCTAGCAGTACAACACGCTACAAACAACACTAAAACAGAAGCTAAATTCATGAATACAATACACATATTTTTATCAAAGTAATTCAAAGTAAGTCTTTTTTTATTAACTTTTGCATGTCCATCCTATTTTCTTCCCATTAATCCATTTCTGGGTCAGGGGGGGTTGGCGGTCACCCAATTCACAGAGCACCAACTCCACCAAGTTTTGCATGTCGTCTATGAAAGATTTTTGACATAGTTTTCATCAACAAACAAATAATAGCCCTGTTTTTTTTCTAAAGAGGCGTGTGCTTAGGTTTAAAGGGGCAATATTTCAACAGGATCTGACGGGAGGAGAATCCACAGGTGACGATGGAGACAGTGATGTGTTTGGAGTGTGGCATTCTCAAGGGAATGAAATCTCAGCCGGCTGCTAACTGAAGCACATATGATAGAGAGCAACCTCCCTTTGTTTTAAATAATCCCAGTATGACTGAGAATTCACACAAACTTGTCCTATTCAGTTGTTATTCCTTCCATTAAACTGTGATGGTAAGTTTGTATTAATTCAATTTAAAGTTCAAACTGATCCACCTCATACACATTACATCAATTGACAGCCGTTTTTTTTAATTTCTCTACAGTCCTACAGGTATGCACTGAGGTCTTGCCTGAATAAAAGCAGCTTATATTTTTAAATCTGTCACGGCACACACTCTCTCACACATGCTGCATTCCCCAGTTTCAGCGTGCATTTCAATAGGCCTGAGAGGAGGAACGACTGCACGTCTTCTTTACATTTACAGCTTTTAAATGGATCGTTTCTTTCACATTGGAATATCTGCTTGCCGACAGACCCCCAAAGCTCAGAGTTTGGCTGAATTCCCAGAACAAAACAATATCTGCCAGGTCGGCCACGGGCCCCCGCCATCCTAAACCTGAGTATGCACACGTTTGGCCTTTAAACCATCAGCGCCCAGGCCTTGCCGTACATAATGACAGAGAATGGAGGCATTAAGGCAATTTGTTTGATTTAAGTTGTCAAGGTGTCCTGGTCCCTGCCCCTCTCAGCTGGTTTTGATACCCAAAAAGTTTGTCTCAGGCCTCAGTGGTGAAAGAAAAACAGAGCAATGCCTCACACAGACAACTGTAGAAGGCTGGATAAAGAGGGAGGTAGCAGCGTATAATAAGGTTTATGAGGTCCAGAGAGAGCCGTGTCAGGGCTGCAGGCTCAATGTTACTGTAGGAGGAGGAGCCCCCGCCACACTCCACTACTCAGTACGAGCACTTTATCGTCTGCTTCAGTTTTAGGCCCAAAGGAGCTAACACACTTTGACATTGGCTCCAGGAAGCCTGACCTGAGACTCACACACTGTTACACTTTTGTTCTGTTCTGACATCACAAGCCTAATTTAAAACGACCACTTCCGGTGCTCAGGATTACACTAAAATAACTTTTCTTATTTTCTTATTTGGTCATATTTAGTATTAGGGGTGGGACTAGATCACAGACGAGACACAAGATTTGGTAAACAAGATAAAGATCAAGAGACATTCATTTTGATTACAACTTAGTTCTCATTATTTTTGTTTAATTTAGGCTTTTATGTTAATTTAAAAAAATCTTTCTATTACCTCCATGTTTATGTTACGTTTTTAACCCCGCCCCCACCTGCTCCTGCTCTTGTTTCTTCTATTACATCACTGTAAATATGAGTAGTATGAGAGATAGTGGCACGCTATCTGCCAAAACAATTTCCAAGTGGTAACTTTGTTTGTTACTTACGTGGCAATAAAAATGATTCTGATTCTGATTCTGAGATAAATTCTCAATGTTCGCAACAAAATATGTTTTTTCTTACCAATATTAGTCCAATTATTACAAAAAAGTGGTTCAGGTGCTGTCTGACTTGGCTCACTAACCTCTCATTAGCTCATCTGAGATCATTCTTCAGTTCTACTTTATGCAGAGTCTTGCTACAATTGAAACTTGAGAGATTTCATCGCTCAAGATCATGTCCTGTCTTTAATTAGGATATCAGAGAGCGTGTATTTCTCCCACAATGTGGAAATTTCAGTCTTGCAATGTGTAGTAGTAGTAGCAGTAGTAGTAAGAAGTAGTAGTAAGGAGTAAGGAGTTGTAGTAAGGAGTAAGGAGTAGTAGTAGTTATAGTTGTAGTGGGAGGTGTAGTAGTAATAGTAGTAGGAGTAGTAGTAGTAGTATGGAGTAATAGTAGTATGGAGTAATAAGAAATAGTAGTATGGAGGAGTAAGTAAGTAAGTAGTAAGTAAGTAAGTTTTTATTTATATACCGCCTTTTCACTGCAGATCTGAGTCTCAAAGCGGTTTACAATTGTTAATGTTGGGCATTTGTCTCTCACTCCACACAGAGATGGGAGCGGGGCCAGTACAGGAAGCACATGCCAGAACTATTGGACATATTTTTAGCGGTAGGGGAAACCGGAGTACCCGGAGGAAACCTACGCAGACACAGGGAGAACATGCAAACTCCACTCAGAAAGGCCCTGGTCCGGCCGGGATTCGAACCCAGGCCCTTCTTGCTGAGAGGCGAGAGTGCTATCCACTCAGCCACCGTGCTGGAGTAGCAGTAGTATGGAGTAGTAGAAGAAGTAGAAGCAGCAGCAGCACCAGCAGCAGCAGTAGTCTAGAAGAGCAGCCTGCATGTAATCGACCAAAGCTACTTGGTGCTGGTCTGTGAAGAGAGTGCTCTGTGGTGTTATAGAGGCCCAGTGTTCTCAGCGATGCTTTAAATAAGGTCTTTATCTGTGCTGCTGTGGAAGCACTACTGCCACAGCGTTTCCTCTGCTCCGGCCTGGATCAAGCTGCTCTCTCCAGGTGCTGGGACCAAACGGCACACTTTTTTTAACCATCAGGTCTGATTATGTGCAAAGCCGGGCTACACACAGCACCATCCAATTTTCATTTTACTTGATCCACTCTTAAGGGTTCAGCAATTTCCACCTCCTCTTCACAAAAAGAAATTGTGGGAGTTCGAATCAAGCCCTTTCTATTAACATGTGATCAAAACGTTCCATCTCTACTAAAACTGTTAATTATTTTATTTTAGTGAAACTGATTGGTTGCTTAATTTTTCAATCCACTATATGTGTCATAGTTTTGGTTTCTGTTTTACGGCTGTATATCATCAATTAATGTGTCTAAATTATTAAAATAATCATGCAGACATATATTGAATTACAATGTATCTTGGTTTTCTCTCAGGTCTCCTTTGAGTTGGCTGAATACACAGCTAATGTGGATGGTGTTGGCACGCTCCGGCTTCTCGACGCAATCCAGACGTGTGGGCTGACCTCCAGTGTGCGCTTCTACCAGGCCTCCACCAGCGAGCTGTACGGCAAAGTGCAAGAGATTCCCCAAAAGGAAACTACGCCCTTCTACCCTCGCTCTCCTTATGGTAACCCACTGTGATCAGCTATAAACCTCTGCATTTGTCTGTGTGGAAATGTCAAACTTTTGGCTGAACTTGAAAGAAGAACTAGATTGTATATTTTAAATGCATTAGTCGGTGTTTAGATGTCAGTTGATGAAAAATATTACTTGTATCAAGTATATTCAATATACATTATAGAATATGACTCTTTGCAAAGTGCGGTCAGTGACACGGTGGCTGAGTGATTAGCACTCCCGCTTCTCAGCAAGGAGCTCCTGGGTTTGAATCCCGGTCAGAAAAGGGCCTTTCTGAGTGGAGTTTACATGTTCTCCCCGTGTCTGTGTAAGTTTTGAGGCCAATCCCATTAAAACATAAAAAAATATTTTGTATTTAAAATGTTTTGTAGAGACAAATTGGATCTAAATCCTGGATCCACTCAATATTCAATTTGATGTTTGTACTGTCAGCGGTGGACGGTGGAGACCAGAGCGGGCCCCTGGAGAACCAGATGTGGTCCCAACCATAAACTGTAAATATTAATGGACGTAGTCTCCGCCGTTAAATTAATGTGCATCCATTTTTTCATCTTAAAACCCTCCTGTACCAGCCTTTCCTTTATTTTGCTCTTCAATATTTAAGCCTCTTTGAATGTTGCGCACTTCTGACTCGGCTTTACTTCCGGTTTTCTTCCTATTTTTTGTAACGGAGTGTTAGTTAATGCTAACGTTAGTGTTAGTTAAGTTAAACTATAGTATACTAAACTAAAGTATAACTAAAATTCTATCGACCTTATTTTCTATTGATTTCGAACACGTGTCTATTGCAATATATATCATTATTGTTTTATCGCCCAGCCCTAATTATAATTGAAATAAGCAAGACTATTTTGTAAGAAAAGTACATTTACTGTGTGTCAAGGCAAAGGAGACCTTTCGTTTGCATAAATAAATCACCACTGGAGTTTTAATGCATGAGCTCTGAGCAATCCCCAACATGATGACAGCTCAAACTACTTGATAGCCTCTCCACATTATTCTTTCTGTTTTGTTTGTGTCAGAGTGTAAATGAATAGGAGGGCCGGGACTTTCGCACTAAATAGCAATTGAGCTTTCCGTGTGCCCTAAGGCCAAACGTCTGACTGACTGCTGTGTTCAACAAAGACACCTTTATATCCAGGGTTCACTTTCAACCCACGGAGACGCTACACGTGCGCTGCCTCTCGGGTTTCTTGTTCTGCTAAAACTAAATGCTTGCCTTCCTGACACTTTCCCCATCTGTCACCACTCAATCTGCGGCTGCATGGGAGGTGCATACCATCATAAGGGAGGCTCGGTTGTCTATTAATTAGTCTTTGGAAAAATGGGGAGTTACGTTGCGACCTCCCCTCACCTCCAGTGTAGGGCCTGACCCGTGGTTTAATCAACGAGAGCCTCCCTAGGCTAGCTCTGGTATTCCCCTCAACGCCTCATGGAGGAGTAGGAGGAGTAGGAGGAGTAGGAGGAGCAGGAGGAGCAGGGGGGAGCATGGCGACAGGAAAGAGCTGGAGTTCTTTATTTGGTGAACGCCTGGTTTCGGTCCGTCAAAAGGAGTCTGCGGTTGACCTTTCAGATTATGAAATATGAAGTGATAGTCGATGTTTTTGTTTTTATCTGATTTATTTGGTGGGGAAACCAGTGTGGGCGGGTCCCGGCTCGAAAAGGTCCATGAGTTTAAAATATGAGTTAAATGTACAAATGAAAATAAATTGGAATGACTATTAGACAGCCCTTAATATTCGAATATTATACTGATATGGAATTTGATGCTAACAGGGTTAAGCTAGCGGCTTTTTGTGTAAAGTTCTTCTGCATCTCGGCAGCGTCTCTGTGTCTGAAATCTTCCAGAGACTTCATATAACAGCAGTATGTGTCACAAAGCGCTTTATTATTTTTTTGTGTATTTGTCTCTCACTCCACACAGAGATGGCAGCGAGGTCGCTTACAGAAGGCACATGCCAGACCTGTTTTTAGTGGTAGGGGAAACGGGAGCACCCGGAGGAAACTTACGCAAACATGGGGAGAACATGCAAACTCCACTTAGAAAGGCCCTGTTCCGACCGGGATTCAAACCTACTAAAAGATTCAATATCCTCAACCCAAATATCTTTCATCATGATTTTAACATGTGCAATATTATTTATAAAAGCTGCTGAGTAAACATTGAAGACACAAAATGATTGTCTTGCGAGAATTTGCGATGTGTAAAAGTAGCCTAACAACCTACATCACAGGTTGGTTTCTTCCCCTTATGTGCAGGTGCTGCTAAGCTCTATGCCTACTGGATCGTGGTGAACTTTCGAGAAGCGTACAACATGTTTGCTGTCAATGGCATCCTCTTTAACCATGAGAGCCCACGGAGAGGTCAGTACATGCACAAACCACTACACACCAGCGGAACACTAAGATACTTACTCTATTGAGATATTTATTATGGTATTTATCTATTACTACTACTATATATCAACTGCTATTCATCAACTTTCATATAACTTATGGGTACTTCTATTTCTCTTGTCTCTATTAGAACACTGTCAATATAAGACCTTTTTCATCCCAAATTGCAGTTTGACTTTCCGTGACTCTTCAGCCCTCTCTCTCTCTCTCTCTCTCTCTGACACATCATGAGTGGGTTGTGGCCACATTTTTAATAAGTGCTCTGAGCCCTGAGGGTCGCAGCCGCTGGTTTAACCCGATTTGCACACCACCGCGACCCCAAATGAATGCCAGATGACTATAGCCTGAGCGCTGCAGCCAGGTCAGCCATTCAGGTGTTTATGATTTATCCCCTAATGAAGACCCCGGCCACGACCTCAGCGAAGGGCAGGGGTCAGCTAGTAAAGCCTAATGGGTTACCACAGAGAGATAGGTGTGGGAATTGTGCCAGTCTTTACCTATAGTCTTGGCTTTGTTGTCCTGATACTAACATTTATTTAAAAAAATCTTAATTTTTCTTCATTTATAAGACCTTTATTACACTTATTGAATTTAATATTGTCCTAATCTCGGTTCTATAGTTATATAATATGCATTAGATCATAAAGAAACACATAATGTCACTGGCAATGTCATCACATTGAATTCTCATAGCAACAGTTCACATTAGCAAGTAGCATCATAGGGCGACACAGTGGCTGAGTGGTTAGCAGTCACACTTCTCAGCAAGAAGGTTATGTTCTCCCTGTGTCTGTAGTTTTCACCAGGTGCTACGGTTTCCCCTACTACTAAAAACATGCACAATAGTTTTGAATGTAATGAGTGAGTGAATGGATGGTGTTGGGTCAGAGGCTTTGATGGTCCAGTGTGTTCGGTGTTTCACTTCCGTCATCACCGTGTGGAGAGAATGGATCAATATCTGAACTCTGTACATTGTAAAGCGCTTTGGGTGACATCGGCCTATACAAAAATTAAATATATTAATAAAGATTACTTACTACTACCAGATAAGATATCAAAAAGTATGTAAAGAGCAGTAGGGAACAGTTGAACCAATGGTGCATTGAATTCAGAAAAATTCTAATTACTTTTGTATGAACGACCAAAAAACCTTGTTTGTAAACGAGAAGAGAACATTTACCAAATAAAGAAGTACTTACTTACTTCATTAATACATTATATAGCAATAGCATTTATCTTTCTATAAATGAGAAATTTGAGAAATTCAAATTAGTCGTCCTATAATACTTTTCAATTATTAAAGTCATCAGGAATGATAATGATAAAAATATGAGAATAGAAGCCTTCCCTCTCCAGAAGAGCCGTATGGATAAACGTAAGACCCATTTAAGGCAAGACAAAAAGTTTTCATCTTTCTAATCTTCTCTCTCACTCTATTTCTATTTCTCCTTCCGGGCCACACACACAGCTGTACTTCACTCTCTCTCTCTCTACACTTCATCCTTTGCTTCCCAGTTTTCCACTGTCAGCATTTTTGCAGTAGGCCACAGAGTTTAGTTTTGCCACCACTTTCAGGATTATATGTTGCTGCCCATAATGTAGAAACTTGTGTCATGGAGCCAGATGTCCCACAGCTGCCGTGTACAACTCCAAAGGTCAAGTTGCTCGTTTGCTGAACCTCTAGGGTACTTCTACTGCCCGGAGAGCTGGGGTAAAGACTAATACCGTTATTTTGTTGGAACTAAATCAAAATGAGAACCTGAAAATGATGTTTAATGACAGCTAATGCTAACCTCCTTTTGCGTTACTACCTGCATAAGCCTGGAATAAAGTTGTTCAATGTTAAATGCAAAATAGCAAATGCAGATTGTTCTAAAATGTACTGTATAAAATATCAGGTATAAGGATAACAGGAGATACAATATGGGTGAAGGTAAAGTAAAAAAAACAAAAACAAAACTGAGATTCCCTGAAGTTGGGAGGCAGGATAATATAAGTCCATTTTTCATTTGCAGGAAAACTCTCTATAGACAGAGGTGCACATAAGTGGCACGCAGGTACGCATGCGCGACAAATATCAGAAATGCGTACTATCACATGAGTTAGTAAGTGCCTTTGCGTACTTCACATAGACCATAGACCAGTCCTTCTCATAGTGGGGCACTCTACCCTAGCGGGGCGTGGTGCAAAGCCAGTGTGTCGGAGTGGTCCGTCTCTAGCTACGTGCGCGAAAATAGTATTATACTAAGGGCTGACTTTCATGCCGCGCGCGCCACACACACACAGTGTGTTTGCCAAAAGTGCACACTTGTGCGGGAAAATAAATTCAAGCAACATTTACACACACATTTACCTGTCTGTCGCTCTCCTCTGGGTCAGTGCGCGAACCAGGACACTATTTCTTGGAGGGTTAAATGAGAATTATGCCCATGTGATGTGCGTAATTAAATGTACATGTTTTGAGCGTGTAATGATGTAATGTAATGTAATTTCTACCAAAATAATTTTCTCAACTGGAGGGGCCAGGAGCCGTGTTTGGCACAGTCTGCCGCTGGTGACAGAGGAGGTCACTTGAAACTTAAAGGTGACATATGTGTCAGTGTAAACTTGTTTTTTTGTGTGCTAATTTTGTTGTAAATACGCTCTGCACTGCTTTCACCATTTTTTTGTACTCTGGGAGTATAGAAAATAAACCCACCTAAGCACTGGACTCTGAGCTCGCCTGTTTTATCAAACATAGTTTGATTTTTGTTTTGCTTTGCATTTTCAGGAAAGAGACCAGTGAGTCATTATTTGACTTGGATTGAGTGGATTATCTGAGCTGATCTAAACTTTAGCATTAAAAAGAAGCAAGTATAAAATCTCGATTAAGAACCATGCAACAAATTGAGTGAGTACCAATCAACATCTCCTGGTACTCATCTGAGAACCTCACTGAAAAAGTTTTGTGCACCCCTGCTCATAGGAATACATTTGCAAAAGTCCCCATGTCATTCATTACCTGTCTGATGTTATTTTTCAATGCTATATATAGAAGTTATGCCAGTATTTTAGTTTCAGTGAAAGTTGACATCACCACTCCTCCAGGTCAGTTCCCACACAAAAAATAACTTGTGATGTCATGGTCCTGGTCTGCCAGTAGCTGTGTGAGCGTGCCTTGTGTAGGCACAGATTCCTGTTTGCCATTTATGAGAGAGTTTTTCCTCTGAACAACATCTTGCCTCGTTTGGCTGTTGAACCTACTAAAAAAAAACGTGCTCTTGGTTTTCTGCAGCGGTTTGGTGTCACTGGATTGAACCAGCCGTGGCTTATGGGAAATGTTGGACAGCAGTGTGGAGCTTCTCACACTTTGCTCTAGACTGGCTGTCCATGGGGGATTTACCATTAAGCTGTCCTCCGTATCACTATGAACAGCCCGTAATTCTTTTTGGAATTTCGCCATGGGTTTTCTCTCTGTTTGTGTCTCCACCTGATGTTTCACACCAATAAACAGTCAAATTCAAGCGTTTCTTGTGAAGAAGAAGAAATAACTAGACGGAAATCCAGCATGAAGCAAAGCAAACACTATCCCACTTCTGCAGTCTGATTCATACTGTTGCTAGCTTCTTCGGGTTAGCCTCACCATTAGCCATAACAAACAGCCCTCGCACACAGACTAAAGGGGATTATCGTCCGTAGTGTCTCCGCTAAATTAACTCCATATTGGCGTGACACATGAGACGTTCTAGGTCTCCTCCAACAGAACACTGTGCAAATAACCGACACGTTGCTTATTGTTAGAAATATTAAAATAAAATATACAACGAACAAAAAATGTCACAATTGAGGATTCGCCCATGTTTAATTTGTATTTATTAGCTATGGGGTGCCCTAGGCTGTGAATCAGTGCTGTAATAGTTTTTTGTGTGAATCTTGCCTGCTGCTGACCAACTCTGGGTTTAGGCAAATCCTCTAGTTTATTTGGGGAAGTCCCATCCATATCTGCACTCTGAGAGCTCTGTGGTTCATGCTTGGCAGTATAGAATAATATACTGTTATGTTAGCAGAAAAGACCAGTTAGCATTGGGGAAGTTAGAATAGCACTGCCAAAGTCAATGCTGGCCCTTTAAATACACAGTCGGGCCGCAGTACCTCAGCATGCCTCGAACTCGCCTTTCTGCTTTGGTTGAGGTTGAGCCCATAAGGTCAGATTGCATGATAGATTTGTAAGACGATATGTTTTCCATTTATTGGCACGGCCATTTTCAAAGGTAATCTTCAAATGGAACGTCATGGTTATGGGGCGTCAAGGGTCTTTGCCATTATCTCTTAAGAAGGCCTGGTACAGAGAGCGTGTTTTTGGCCTCAGCTTTCATCGAGTGTTCATGTGGAAGAGTTGAGTGAGCGCTGCCTAAACATGCACTGATGTTAGAGGTGCAACGTGAAAGAAGTAACACCTCACGCCAAGCTGATGACGGAGCATCCTCATTCCTCAACTTAAGCCGTGGAGAAAAAAGAGGCGCTTGCAGTGACCTTGACCTACCTTGACTTCAGACCTGAAAGTGGATGGGCCCTCTAGCCCTTCACTAAAACTGTTTTTGTTTCGCTTGTTTCCCCATAGTAACCAAGTAGGCTGTTGATTGATTCTTGAATTTGAAGTTGCGTCTCATACTTTGGCTTTGAGACAGATAGGAACTATGCCGCAATAAAGCTGTCAGAGTTACACACAATTAGGTCTTTGTCTATAGAGTGAAGGCGTTACTTATTGTCTGAGCAGCAGATCACAATCACAATGTCACACTTTTGCTGTCTTTGCACTTTCTAATGCAGCTGTATCTTTACATCGTCATTTCTTCGGCACCAGTAATCCTTATCACCTGTGGAGTCAGATTGTTGCGTTGGCAGAGCTGAACCTTTAGACCCGTCTTGGACAGAACTTGGAGCGAAATCTTCTCATCAGTCAAGAAGACGAATGCGCAACTATGATGATTTCTTTGGCCAACGCTACTCCTCCTACACCCCTGCACACTTTCCCCAAGAGTCAGACTTTCTGCACTTCAGATATATAAAGGACAGTGTGGAGGCTCATTGTGTCCCAAACAGTGTTAATTCATATCATGAACAAGCAGAGATAGAAATTAATGACTGGCTTTTTGTTCACCTCAAATCTACCACAAAGCAATGTATTCCCCCGCAGGCCATTTCTCAAAGACAGAGTGGAATTATGGGATTTGCAGTTCTGGTTGAATTCCAAAACAGGTGTGTAACCCTGTGTTGATGTAACCCACAGGTTTCTATGACAACACAGAAAATGAAGGCACAAGACATTTTTTGTTCGCTTTTTCTTTGCAAACTTGGCCAGACAAGCTGAAAACAAGAATGAGTCAAGTACCAAATATCTTGAGTATACTTGGAATGAGTCTGTGTCAATCTTTTTAAAGACAGTTAGGCAATTTACGGACTCTATTTTGGGAAAGTGGTTCAACAGTCTTGCAATCCCATCATGTATTGATTTATGGGTCCATGTTCTGATGAAAATAGAATTAAAAACACAGAAGCAAGGAAGTATGGAAGGAAGTGAATGCAATGTTTCACTCCTACCAAAGAGTTGCTAAGATTGACATGATAAAAACTGGAACATAATTCAAGTATAGCCCGATTTTCAGATTTTCCAGAACTAATTCCTCTTTGGACCGAGTCACCACCACACAACATGTCTGCGGATTGCGCAGAAGCAACAGTGTCTGCATCCCACTTGTTTGTCTCGTTCTTTGCTAAAAAGCATGTTCACTATTGCACAGTATATTTATCAAAGAAATGCAAAGAAATTCAAAGCTAAAACAGACCATTTTCAAAACATTTTTCCCAAAGTTTGGATTAGTAATTATTAGTTGCGTAGAAGTAAATCAGCCAATCTATCAAAAATATACTTTTTATTTATGCAGACATAATGTACAAATTTCACTTTATTGATCTTTTAACCATATTAATATTGGAGTGTGCTGTGCATGTTCAAAAAAATAAATAAAATAAAATAAAATAAATTCAACATTGTTCCCTCATCAAAATCAGATCAATAGTTGTTTTTAGATCCATCCATGCTATTATTTGGAACTCCTGGCCCAAACATCCAACTGTTTTTTGACTATAATCTCCTGTCTCAGTCCTTGTCATTGTAAGATAAAATAAACTTTATTGATATCATTGATGTCACATACAAATAGAATCACTCTTGTGCAAAAATAGTCTCTTTTGTGCCAATATGACATCACTCACAGTTTTCTGCCTTTTAAACAGGAGTTTTGTCCATAAAGTAGTTTTAGCAAATTTACAGGTGAAATTACGTGCTTTACAATTGCATGGCTGTGTTTGCAGTTGGTAATTTTCTAATCCAAGAGTTACCAAACTGCCCTCTGGTGGAAGTCTAGAGATATGCAAGTAAACATTTTCATTTAACCACAAACAGCCACAAATAATGCTTAATATTTCTGCTTAAAACACAGAACAAACTGTATCACTAAAAATCAAAGTGTACAGTTTGTTTTGTTTGTTTTCTATGCAATTCAAGAAACTTTTGACTTTACCTTGCTCCATTTTTTTTTCTACTCCAGCTGTGTCAGTACAGTCTGTGTATTGCACTTCTCCTGTCGCTCCTCTGTCCAAAAGTGAAAGGCACTGATGGAAAGAAGGAAAGAAACAGTTAAGTAAGACTGAGAGCGAGTGTCAGTTTCTGGCAGGGCTTTTGCTGTCTGCTCAGTTTTCACAGCCCGTGGTTTTATTAGACTTTCCGCCGGGCTGCAGGCAAGGTTAAACGGCCACCACTGCCCCGTTTGGGCTCGAAACAAGTCTTAAGCCCCCACCCATTTGCCTCCCTTCTCTACCTCACTCCCGCCCTGCTCTTTCTGGCTGGCTTGCGGTGCTTTTGCCAGTAAAGGAAGCACATTAACACCAGGGCCAATAACAGAGTAGGCTTTGTCCTGGGCCAGGCAGCTCAGTCCATTAGGCCCGTGCTGGAGTCCGTACTGCACCAATTAGAAGAAGCAGGGAACGGTGCCATTCCAAACAGAGGTGCGAGCTTTACAAGGCCACTACAGGTGTGCGGGGGGAAATAATGGACTATTGGCCCGATTGGGTGCACTATATACCACAGTCACCTTTTTAAATATCAGCCCAGCTCAGAAACATTATGACAACCTATGTTTAACCTTAAATCTGTTTTGTTTGAGTGTCCATAAAATATTTTAGTTATAGCTACAAATAGCCGGAGTTGTGAGCCAATTCTTCCACTATTTTTGTGTTTTGCATTTTTGTGCATCCCATATTTGGAGGTACTAGTTCTGGCATTGTTTTCACGTTCTTCATCATCAGCATGTTCAATCCAATTAAAGCTGATGGTCTGACGGGATCTGACTTTCAAGATGTGTTTAATCAGTGGATCATAAATACAAACAACAAATAACCAAAACTGGAATTATATGGACATTGTTGTCTGTTGGATACTCTTGTTTGTCCATCTGCTTTAAGATAAGATAAGATAAGATAGACTTTATTGATATCACGCAGGAGAAATGTACATGCCACATCTGGCACGGTGGCTGAGTGGATAGCACTCTCGCCTCTCAGCAAGAAGGTCCTGGGTTCGAATCCCGGCCGGACCAGGGCCTTTCTGAGTGGAGTTTGCACGTTCTCCCCGTGTCTGCGTAGGTTTCCTCCGGGTCCTCCGGTTTCCCCTACCACTAAAAACATGCACAATAGGTCTGGCATGCGCCTCCTGTGACCAATGCCCAAAAATAATAACAATTGTAACTTTGTGACTCTGGTCTGTAAAAGGCGGTATATATAAATAAAGATTACTTACTCAAGATTGTGCAAAAGAAAGAAATGTGCAAACATGTTAAATGCATAAAAAGGGGCGATTCAAAAGTGGCAATCAAGAAACAGTGTCAATAGTAGTGCAGCGGTGGGGATAAAGACCCTGCGGTAGCGCTCCTTCTTGCACTGAGGGTGTCTTTAGTCCTGCCTTTTTTATTGATTGTTGCCTGTATGATTTTTGTTGGTTGCATAGAAATTTTTTGGCTGTAGTTGGGGCATATTTTTCTATTTGAATTGTCATTGCCATCTGCCATGAGTTTTCAGACCTTGAAATAATGCAAATAAAGACAATTGTATGTGAAAAAAGTAATTATATGGGCATAATATATATAACATAATAGCGTCACATTCAGTTCAGGTAAAACTTGTTTGTATCTTTTATCTAGTTCTATCTTCTCGTTGTCATTCTGTCCCGTCAGATTAAAATTAATGACGGAAACGGTGACATAATAAAGAGACAGATGATTACAGATGAGTAATTGCTGGTTTCTATTTGCATGTTTGGTACCTGCCAGAACATATATGACCTGCCAGGCGAGAGGACGACAGCCCTGGAGAGATGGGAGACTGTCATGATCTGACGAGATGAGGGGGTTTCCAAAGTATTATCTTTGTCTCATCTGCATTGGCTATTTCCCAAAAAACATGTCAGCTATGTTGCCTCATGGCTTAAATGAATAATGATAAAACAATATGACAGTTTTTCCCTTTTTAAAATAAATGGTAAGACTGTGTAAAGACTTTCTTGTAAACTATGGCCTAACATTGTGTTGACAAGCTGGGACTATAACCTTCCACCAACACACAACATGCTGTATTCTGCCAAATAAGCGTGTCTAACCTCCACTGCTCTGTTTTTGCTCAGCCTGCCCAAGACTGTTGCTTTCCTATGAAATAATTACGACAAATTTGGTGCGTTTGCATGATTGGGTTCATGGGATTTTCCTGTGCCTAAATGGAGACTCTGCTCCATGTCAGAGCAACAGTGATACAGTGTCGACTGTCGAGACATGAGCACAGGCTATTATGGCCAAGATGTGTGCAGACTAAATTGACTCAAAGGACACATTCATCCTGAGCATCTGTGGAGAACAGGCAGTTTTGAAGCGGTTCAGGAGAAGTTGTTGGAGATTTATGTTGGGTACACTCTAAAATAGACATACCCAGCTTTGATGCTGGCTGCACACTTTAAAAATAATATATGTTTCCATGTGTTTTTATGGCCCTATTGGAAGCACTAACTGTAGCCACGACTACTGATTCAAGCAATGTTATCAGACATGGCACAAAGCTCACCTGTCATCAGCTAGATCATCTTTTTCAAATGGGTCAAAATCAGAAACTTGCATGAGCTCCACTGAACATGACACTGCTCCTTAAATAGTTTGTCATAACTCCCAAAGTTGTCTGTGACCCACTAGTAAGGCATACATGGTTATTAGGATCTGAGTTGTTTTCCCATTGATAATATCACCCTCTACTCTAAGCTTAGCTGGAATCTTTAGTGTGGTGCATCTGGACTGTATACTACTCCAGAAGAACTAGGGTGGTCCTCGTACATGATATTTGAAATCATATTCTGACATTTCAACAAAAAATGTACCCGAAAGATGAGTGACTTGAGGAAAATTACAGTTTCAGAAATGTAAGTGGTCATGGACCACAGATTTTATTCAATCCAGTCTTTAACTCTGTTTGCGCTTTGGAAAAAATAGTACTTTCAACACAAGGAGAGGTTTGGAACACAGACGTGCAGTGATTGTTGCTTTTCTCAATCTTGAAATGTATAAGTTTTTGTCAATTGCTGACTTCTGTAGTTTTGTGGCTCTATGTACAGTACCTTATAGTGGCCTGTGTAATTTACCAAATTTGAAAAAGTATATATTTTTTGCTGTTCCTATATTTTGAATGTGTATCTTATCTCGTCTGCCTGACATCTAGTGAATCCTTGTGAATTGTATTCTTTATACTCACACAGGGTTTCTTATGTTTCAGGTTCAAACTTTGTGACGCGTAAGATCAGTCGGTCTGTGGCAAAGATACACCTCGGCCAGCAAGAGAGCTTCCGTCTGGGCAACCTGGACTCCAAGAGGGACTGGGGCCATGCCAAGGACTATGTGGAGGTAAAGCAAAAAGCTGTCCACCAATACCCCGCTACATGGACTAGCTCTGTGAATATGGGCGTTGTAAATAAATTGTTAATCAATACTTTACAATACTTACCAGTTTAGAATAAAATACAAGACAATTAGTTTGATCCATACAGTAAGCAAACTGTGACCAGATATAGTCATTTACCAAAACTAAAAGACATGCATTCCAACTGAAGAGTGAAGAAAGTTCACATGTGAACATAGCATAGAATGGCGCGCGTTTTCCCAGATCATTTGAGGCTGCAATATGCAATCGGCATGAAGTCTGCTATGATTGTGTGCCAGAAGAGACATGGAGAGAGGGAGCAAGAGTAAGGCTGCCCGCTGTGAGGCTACAGTCTACACTTTGGTTTCCCACAACTCACCCATGTCCCAATTCGCTCCAATCCCCCCATGTGGCCCCCCCTTTCCCAAGAAAGAAAGAGATATTAAGGGAACGGCGAGTACCGGGGACGATGACAGAAATACAGTGTTTGTGTTGGAGTAATGGTGCCAGCAGCCAGCAGAGAGTGTAGAGGGAAGATGAAACAAAGCAGTGGGGTTGTGTCGTTCAAAGAGGCAGACAGTGTTTTTTCTCTCATGAATGTGTGTGCCTATGAAGAGCGCATTCCAGCCAAAAGCGTCAAAGTGTGCAATAGGTTAAGGTTGGAACATGTGTGTGGCTGTGAGGATGAAAGGCGCGGTGGGTTGCCATGTCCTACAGCAGCCCCCTTACCGTGTAATGTGTTGTTATTAGGAGTCCATGGTGGTGGCGTTGGTGAGGGTTCCCTTTGAGATGGGAGTCGGGGTGAGGAGGTTACAGCAGGGAAGCACTGTTGAACTTAAGAGACTAAGATGGGGTCACTGGGTTACACTGGGTGGTGGCTGTCGAGTGGTTTAGATTTTACCTTTTAGGATTGTGAGCTTCCTGAGCATCGATTCAAAACAAGATGTAGTGATGAGCTGTAAAATTAAAAATACTTTAAATACCAAATACGTTTAGGAACTGCATCCTATAGAGAGATCAACACAGGCACAGACAATAAAAACCTCTAAAGGTTCAGGAGGCAGGCGCTGTACACAACACTCGGAACAAAACAATCACAACATTTGTCGAATCATGAAGGTGACATATAAAACTTAAACATCAGATTTCTCAAGACAGCTCGCAAAGTGTTTACTCGATTTGACACTTGCCCATTTTAAATAGAATTCACAGCGCATCATTGTATGCTACTGGAAGCTGGACTTTTTATAATTCACCCTCAAATGTTTGGTGTACAGAGGTGAACAGGCTCAAAACAGAACACATGATGAGACAAATACTGTATCAACATAATAATATATTAACAGAGTAATGGGAGGAAATTATGGAGGACGGAAAGGATGTGCACATAAATACTGTACACACAGAAACCTTCAAATTCAAGCTGAAAGTCTGCATTCATGGCTCAATCTATTGTATATTTAAAATCCATTGTGGCGGACAAGAGCCAGATATATTAAAATTGTTCCAATATTTACAGACCTGACTGACTGTGCCTTTTCAACTTTTACATTCTCAAGTGCTTAACTTAAAACGTACGCATTAGGTTAACCTTGGGCCCTGTTTACACGGAGACGCTGTGACAGTAGAACGATAGAGTTGACGAGCAGATTGTCCTTTTGTGCAAACACCGTTAGTGCTACACGGGGATGACATATCCTCCAAAGTGGAACAAAACTGATACGCTGCACGGCGGAGGGCCGTATCGCAGGCGTGTGATGAAAACTTTGCAAACTCTCTGGCTGCAATGACCTCACTACTCCCCCCACGGACATGCGCAGTCACCGAGAACAATCGTAAACAACAATGGCGGCAGATTAACGAATGCTATTTGTGCTTCTATTGTTCCATTTCTACTTTTTTGTCCTCTCAAACAAAACCACAAAAAGTTGAAGTTGCAGTTTCTATTTTGGCTGCTTCTGGTAAATCCAGAATGATGTTGGTGCATTCTTTTGCGACTTTGCGGCGACCTGAGGAGAATGTTGTTGAGGAAGTGGTTAAACTGATGTGGCTCGCATTGTAAAGTTCCAGTGCCCACTACTGGCCGGGCATGAGAACTACATCGTTTTCACTCGTTATGTTTGAATCTGGAGTCGGGTCGTTTTTGTTAATTGCTTGGCTACGTCTCTGCGTAAACAGGGCCTTACAATCATTCTTTGTCTTATGTTCGGGCCCATTACTTAGGTTAGAAGTAGGCAAGCAAGTTTACATTTACAGGAGACTAACTGAGATATATATATATATATATATATATATATATATATATATATATATATTATATATTTATAGACGTTAATCTGTTCTATTTGTTGCCCTCATTTTTGCACTGCCTCGTCTTATTCCTACTGAGGTATTTGCGAGTGTGGGTCCAATCATGTCTAACGTCTCATGAATTGAGACGCTCCAGATTTCCTGTGGGACTGAGCCCGGCATTCCTGTTTTCCTGTTTTGGTGCATCGGGCACCTCCTCAGCGAGTGTCTCCAGTTTCGGTAAGGCATGTTTCGGGAAGCCAAACAGAAGCTGTGGTGCTGAGGGGAACTGGGGTGAAGGTGGGAGGGGGGTAGACATTGGAAGCAGGCAAACGGACCCTGATTTTTGGCACCACTCTGTGCATCGTTCCGAAAGCCGCCATCATCCACTTCTCTTTGCCGACCATAATGGAATTACTTAAACATCCCACTCCTCCTCTCTGTGTCTGTGTGTCTTTGAAATAATGATTCAGTCAGCATCAGCTCTGTTTAACGATGGTGAAGACAAACAACTTTTAATTTGTAAACAGAACCATGTGTGTCTGCTTGTGTCTGACAACTGCTTTTCCTCCTTCTGCCTCTGTACCCCACCCAGGGAAGCAGGGACAGGGAAATTGCTTGTAATTGGTTGTGGATGGATTGTGGGTGGCAGGAGGGGTGTGCTGTGTGTCTGTTATAATGCTGTCTGAAGGCGTGCGGCTGGCTGGGCAGCGTCTAGCCCAGGTATCGGGTGTCTGTCCTGGGCAGCAGACAGAGCCGTGGCTGCTTCATCATCAGTAAAGATGCTCAGGTCTATACGGCCATACAAAACTGGAACCGACTATTTCAGCTTGAAGTTGGAATTTGACATCGTTTTTACATTTATTACATTGGTGTTTTTTGTGGATAGAGTTGATGCTGTGAGAATGTAGAATGTTATGTCATAGCTGTCTTGAGGTTATGTCTATGGTCATTATCATTGTCTGCTTTCATGTCAGAACTGCTCCGTTCCAAATCATTACTTTATCAAAACTTGGCCAAACCCTTTTAAATCAATACTTCTACGGAGCAAAAATATGACTTTTACGCAGGTCAAGCAGTCTCCATTTGAATGTTTTGTAGTTACATTTTCACAACAAATTAGTCGATGATTTCAGGTTTTTTTTCTACAATGTTTCTCCCATAATTCCACTAACATATTGTTGTGTATATAATTCTAGTTTTTCCACATGATTTTCTGACTTTCTGCTCTTGTATAAAATATGGATTTACTTTTTTTCCCCAGACAACATTTTAACAGCTTAAAGCATCATAGTTGGCTTAAAACAAAAGCGCAATCGTCTTCCATTCCTTTTCATGAATTCCTCCTGCCTGTTGTTTTCTAGCAAAGCATTGTTGTCATTGGCCGGTACAGTAACGCTCTTTTTCCAAATCCTTTCTGGAAGTCTGTTTAGGTTGCATACACACTTATTGTTTCACTTTTACTGGACCAAGTCTGGTTCACTTGAGGAAAAAAAGGCTTAACAAGTCTGTTTAAAAGAAAAAAATATATATAATATGTCTGCTATGCGCCTCCTGTACAACAATGCCTACTACAATGTAAAGTGCTTTGGGATTTTGTCTGTGAAAGGCGCTAAATATATTAAATACTTGCTATAAACACAATTCTTACTTCTATGAGATGTAAACCAGTCCAACTTGCGCGGACACGCCCTCAGTCACTACTTTTTCCTCTTGGGCCTTTGTATACACTGTGTGAGATTTCATAACACTTTTAAGCAACTTTTGTTAAGGTTAAACTCATCATTCTATCAATGTGCAGAAGCCTGTACTTTTCCACTTCATGTTTTGACTATCTCTGCTGGCACCGTGGAAGCTGCTGATTGGAGGTCTCCATGCCTCCGCTCTGTATAATACACTTGCATTCTGTTGTTCGTGCTTTGTTCGTGCTGTCTCTACCATCGACAATAAAACATGTCTTCTGTCTGAATTAAAGACGCGATCCCAGACTTTGTCATCGTCTTCAACTGCACTACACCATACCATAGTAAGGACATTCAATCACAGCCTTGGCCAAGCAGCAGATTTATCCTGGATTTGTATTATTCAACTTTCTCTTGGTCTTTTTCCATACTCGTGAGCCTCTCCCAGCGCTTAACCTTTCCCTATTTTGTTCTGTTGAAATGCTGCGTCACCGCCTGGCCTTTGCTCCTTAAAAACTGTCTCCTCCGCTCGCCCGCTCCTTTTTTGGTGAGAAGTTACCACCCAGTTACCATATTTTTCCCCCTGACATCTAATAAGTATTTAGGCACTGCAGCCAGGACGTGCCGGCGGGGAAACCGTTGCCAGATGAAATGTGGCCTGACCTGCCGACTCACACGGACCCAACCGCTCTTGTCTCACTCGTGTATTTATTTTTAGAATATAATTGCCTTTGAGATTCATGTCATGGTAGAAGTATTTCGCTCTTCAGGTGCAGAGTGTGTGTGTGTGTGTGAGTGTGTGTGTGTGTATGTGTGTGTGTGTGTGTGTGTGTGTGTGTGTGAGAGTGAGTGTGTGTGTGTGTGTGTTTGTGTGTGTAGCCCCCTGTTTGTAGTGTTAACTGTCTAATTCCTGGCATTGTGTGAAGGCCGGGAGGTGACAGGACAGCCCGCCGGTGTCATTTTTCACCTCTTTATTTTCCTTATTCACTTTTTTGTACTTTGCAGCTGGCTCTCGGTGCAATAATGGTTACAGATGAGGCTAATTAGCCAATCACAGCGCAGATCAGGGCCAATCAAAGATGATTGATGAGAGTTGGGGGCAATTTATCACAAGCTTTTGGCCGAGAAGGTGACAGCTGCATGGGGCAGGAGTGGGAATAGGGTACAGTAGTCTTCAGGTCTGACGTACTCACTTGAACTTTCTGAACTTAACACTTAAAATAGAACCAATGTGTGATAACATTTGGCTCCATGTGAATGGGGTAAATATTTGACATGATATAACGACGTAATGTTTAAAAAAAAAAAATAAAAAAAAATAATCTGACATAATTCATATTATTAATGGATTTTCTCGAACGAAATAAGATGATACATGTGTCTGCACCTTATTAGAACACATGTTTTCTTTTGCATATTTAAAAATAATCTATTCAATTTTTTTTCCTGTATTGCCCTAAATTTCAACAGTTGTTATCTCAGAGGACTTGAAAAAAACGTTGAAATCGCCAACAACAGATCAGAGAATCAAACAGTTCAAACTCAAAGAATAGAGACCACATGGTATTGATCCATGTGGAGAGACCAATGTCCATAAACGTTGTAGAATGTAGAGTGTCCAGGATCACCACAGTCCTTCTTGTTAGACACAGTCCAACAGACATCGGCAAAGAAAAACACTAAAACCCATTTTGAGTAAATAGCCCTAACTTTTAATGCTTTGGGCTGATCTAAAGACAGGACAGAGGTCAACATTACATTCATTACATTTCAAAACTAGTGATAGAACCAATATCAACTAAGAAGAACTATAACCAATAATAACTAATATCAAATATAAAAATGATTATCCAGTAGTAAGCACTTTAGTTTCAGATTTGTTTGTCCTTGACATATTCCACATTACACACTTTATGAATCTTGTGTTATAGGAATTTGAGTTTAGAGAAAGTTAAAATAAACATGTCTCTCTTGACAGATTCTTGCCCCTAGAGGGCACCGTCCCCTGGTTGAATTGCGTTGCAGATAACACCAGGCTTTGTCCATTGTGAGTCTTTACGGGTAGCTGATAAATGCCTTACACTGCGGCGTAAGGTTTTTAAGTCGCCAGCTGGAGCAGTAAAGGACTAAAATTGGAGCTAATAGGCCGGAGCATTAGGTTTCATCACTGACGGCAGCCCCAGCTCTCCAGCCCTGACCCCCGCTGCTTCACCACACCCAAAAGTGGTGTAATTGTCCCGAGATGTGCGCGCCGAACTGATGGAAGCCCAGTCAAGTCTAGATCATTTAACGGCCTTGTGTCAGGTCGACCAGCGTGCCACACAAGTAGGATGAGTAAGCGCCAGCAGCTGGAGTTCTGGGGCCTCCATGCAGATTTGTTAAAAGGTGTTAATTGCAGAAGAAATGTGACCCTTGGCCCCGACAGCAGCTCAATAAAGCAGGGTTTGCCTCCTGTGGCACACAGCAATAAAGTCTCTCGCACTTCTGCCCAGCTTCTACAAACATGTTATACAATACCACTAACATTTAAGGCTGTTTATGTAGCGCTCGTAGTGGAAACTGATCTGCCATATCATTTTTATGTCTTAGGTTTATTGGTAAATTTTCCCAAATTATAGGAAAGAACCGCCCTCTCCACTTTTTGAACAAAACTCTCTGGTCTTATTTGACGAGCATGTATAACCAGAACGATTGACATTTGGGAGGACCAATAGTCTTGATGATCCACCCGCAAGTGGGAAATCCTCCTATACCTTTAAGTCTTTATGTACAGTATTATTTCTTTTGGAAGCCCCATCAAGATTTTTGTTTTCAAAGGGGTCCCCAAATTCCAACAATACAGTAAGGCAGAGAGTAAAACAGAATAACATGATAAACATATAAGACAATACACACACACGCACACACTCACACACACGGTATGTTAACGCACACAAAACAATCATAATCTACAGCTAAGATAAAATAATGGCAAGCCATTATTGCCATAAAACTAAAGATGTTTTATTGAAGTTTCTTTCTATTTAGTGAAGGTGAAAAATGAGTAGACATGGAATGATAAAATAATGGATTGGGAAAGACATTGGAACAGAAATCCAGGGAGGAGCAGGTTCTGTATCGGAGGATGCAATGATGAAATAAATTGACAAATGTTGATTTTGAAATGAACCCTCCGTCTTTGAGACATTTAAGGATTCTAAATATTGATGGTTGCTGTAGTTGCTTGCATATCTTTTGCAATAAAGTAAATCAATATTTCTTTTCTTTCATGGTTTGAAAATATACATGCTGTGATTGAATAGTTGAACTTAATTTATTTAAGGATAATGTGCAATTGCATTAAACTGAACCAGATTTAGCACCAGCTTCTTTTCACCTGTAATCCTTGACAGTACAATAATATAATACATATAGAACTTGCATAATAATACATATACATACTTGCATAATAATATAAAGTTAAAACTAAAAGTGCAGGTTACTTAAAAAAACATTAAAATAGAAGTGGAAGTTACTAAAATACATATTGACATACAGTTCAAAATGAAATTGCAAGTTGCTAATTTACTAACATACTAACATACGAGCACTAATATTAAAATACAGTTCAATAAAAGTGCAAGTTACTTAAATACATTTAAAGATGCAGTCAATGATTTTTTCCAGACGCATTTTTTAAAAATATTGTAGGAAAACGTCCCTGAACCCTAAAAGTAGTCAATCAATCAATCAAATTTTATTTATAAAGCGTTTTTCATACAAAAGATGCAACACAAAGTGCTTTACAGTTTGGTTAAAAACAATCCCGCCGGCCCATGACCCCCACCCGACAGGCCCAGTGGTTTGGTGGACAGGCGAGGTGAGGGGGGAGTGGTTTGGTGGAGAGGGAGGGGAGGGGGGAGTGGTTTGGTGGAGAGGGAGGGGAGGGGGAGTGGTTTGGTGGGAGGGAGGGGAGGGGGGAGTGGTTTTGTTGGAGAGGAGGGGAGGGGGGAGTGGTTTTGTGGAGAGGTGAGGGGGAGGGGGAATGGTTTTGGTGGAGATGGAGGGGGAGTGGGGAGTGGTTTGGGTGGAGATGGAGGGGGGAGTGGTTTCCAGTTGGTAAGCTAACAACATCGCTTATGGCACCTTTAAATTAAAGTTTAATAAAAGTGCAAGTTGACCAAAATACATATTAACGTACAGTTCAATAAGTTTGATAATTACGTTTTGATTTGGAGTTAATTGATTTGATCTGTTGACTGAAGATGCTCAATAAACTTTAATCTCATAAAAAGAAAATGTGTCAAATGCCAGATTTGAGAAAAACTGTTAAACTTAGAATCCGGGTGAAAGGAGGTGGATACAGTCCTCTTGCAGTGACCACAAATGCTGTATCTTTGTGGAGCTGTGGTGGCTGCAGCTGTGTGTGCTGTGACTGACAGAGTGAGACCTCCCCGCTGGGCACCGATAAAAGCACATGTGGCTCTGTTCTTCTGCCCCCACAGTGGAACCACAGCGCTCTACTTTCAAACAGCCGGCTGCAAACCAATTAGAAAAAACTCCCATTCATACATATCATATATTAGCATATGGAAAAACGTCAATTGGTACAGTATCCATCTCAGGACCAGAGGAGACAGGTCCTTCCAGGCTGTTGCTCCCAAGCTTTGGAACGTTCTCCCGCTCTCTCTGCGTTCCACAGAGTCTGTTGAGAGCAAAACGGACACAACTCTTAAAAACGAGCTTCCTCTCCTAAATCGAGAAGTGGCTGCTTCAAGCACATGTTTGATTACGTTATAGGTGGAAGTAGGACAATCAGGTCAGGGCTCACAAAGAGTGGTATTTTGGAGAAGTTAAGGATTGCCTTAACTGGATGTTGACCCGTACCTTCTCCCCCCGTCAATTTTACTCGATTAAATAAAATGTCTATTTTTGCCCGAATTCACCCTACATGATCTTTATCATTATCGTTAACAATGCATCCCCTCACACTGGAGCGATTTAAATGTACATTATGCTGGTAGCATAACAATAGTCCCACTTTTCTGTGGCTTTTCTGTCTACAGCCAAACATGATACGTACTGACAGAGAGGAAAATAGTGAAACACGCAATTGACTTAAAAGATAAAAATGTCAATGTTGCGGCGCACATACAGGACAGTAGTAAGAGACACGTTTTGACGTGTGTCATTGTCCTCCACATTAATGGAAATAAATAAATACAAACTTGTGATTGCTTTATCTTGTAAAAAGTGTTCACTGCATATTAGGGATACTTGGATGGGTCCCCGTCCTTTTGGTTGATTGCCGCTGGCCATCGTCGTCTTCTATCTTCATGACGAGCCAGGTATCAGATAAAAAAGCTTATGTCCGTGCCTCGGTAGTATAATCACAACAGCACTGCAAATGTCACAGTTTTGGCTGTAATGCGCTGAAACAGGTTATTTTGGTCAGGTGTCCGAAATAACCTGACCAAGTCTAACTGCCGACTCTCCAGGACAGACGCAGTTAGAACTTCTGCCGTCTGTCATGGAGAGTGGGCGTGGCCGTGACATCACATGCACGGGGTCAATACATGGTTGTTTTGGCCTTTTAAAATGTGTATGTCTATTTTATTCGATGTCTGTTTTTATAGTTTGTGAGGTGCTTTGTGACCCTGGTCTGTGAAGGGCGCTATATAAATAAAGTTTACTATATCAATAAAGTTTACTATATCAATAAAGTATACTTACTCTTTTTTACTCATCATTTAAAGTTTCTTGTTGTACATTAAGTCCCTTTAAAGGGAGCTATACCTGTTTTTCCCTGTCAAGGTTTGAATGTTTTTTAACCCCGCCCCCCAACTTGCTCACCAGGCCTCTCATTTCCCCTATGCTCTCATCCCACGGAGCCCATCTAGTTTTATTTGCGTTTCTGAATACATATGTAAACATTAGCATTATGCAACTTAAGCTGTACAACAATCACTGATGAAATGGTACAAGAGCAACGCCCTGCTAACAAAATATATAACTTGAAAGATTACCCTCTATTCCTCCGTCCGAATGTAGTCCGAGCATAGAAAGTCCTCCGCGGGCAGAGGATACGGGGAGGAGTAAGGGGGGGAGGGCTAAGCTATGTTCACCCGGCTTGATTTCTTCTTTGATAATTTTTTTTTGCTTTAGTTCCCTCTTTTATCTTCCTCTCTGCTGTGTGTCGCTTGGGCTGTTTTGCTGTGTCTGCAGTTACAGCCAGAGGAGTTTATAGCCCAAATTCGCTAACATGCTACTGTGTTTAGCAGCGCTGTAGAAGCTAGAGGGACGCAGCCTCGTTCAGTGATTGCAGGAGAGCGGGCATCACGCTAAGTTCTCTACTCAGAACTTTTTACGGCCTGAATTCATAACACAGCTGAATCATGAGCCTCAAGTTTTTCAATTAGAATTACAGAATTATAATACAACGTGTATGTAGTAATAAAAATAATTATGTACTCATTAGAAAATACATTGGGTATTGCATCTTTAAGTCACTAATGCACTCGGACGGAAGAACCAGGATCATAATTATACCCTGCACAATCTGAGTGATTCTATCTGTGCCAAATGTGACATGTACATTTCTTCAGTGTGAGATCAGTAAAGCTTTATCTTTTTTTTTGTCTTAATTCAAGTTGAGACTTTACCAGAGAATATATAAATGTTACGTCTTTCTCATGGATCTGCAAAATCAGGAGCAGAAAACCAAATGTGATGAATAAGATTGTATTGATCTCACACTGAAGAAATTTACCGTACCCTTCGAACAGAATATTGACATCTTTGTGACTTGGAATAAACATTCCAATCCTCTTTTTTTTTTTTAGCACATTTTATAAAAATAATTTTTCAAAGTGCATCACAGAGATATAATCAACACATTTAAATATGCAAGTTTGCCAGCCTTATGTTTAAACAAATACATAAAATAGAGGCAAAACATTATGCACAAAGTTAAAATCATACAAATATAATAAAAAAAACAATAAAATACCAGTTAACAATAAGTGTAATTGAGAATTTTTTGATAATCTACTGTCAACTGATCTAAACCCCAACATATTTATGACTACTAATTTAAGACTTGCATAGCATTACAACAATAACATTCTTAAGGGTCTCAATTGAATATTGTTTTTTTTCTTCAGAATTCTTCACTTCAGCTTTACCTGCGTCAAATTGAGCTAAATTCTAATTTTTACATTCTAAATCACAAAATGATAAATACAAGCATAATCGCTTATCTAATAATTGCTAGTTACAAAATGAACTCACTAAAGTTGCCTTGCCTTTAGGATAAGATAAGAAAAGATAGACTTTATTGATCTCACACAGGAGAAATTTAAATGTCACATCTGGCATGGATAGAAACACTCAAGAAGAAAAAGATTTTGTGCAAAGAAAGAAGTGTGCAAACATGTTAAATGCAGGATATATTATGTACAATAAAAGTGGCAATTTAAAACAACTTCACAACAGCATCACTTGAGACTTGCTGTGCTTTGGCGTCCATCCATCCCCCTCTATTACCAAAGACGTCATAAAGTTATGCCAAAGAGTTTGTGTGATGCATTTCAAGCCGAGACATATATTCAAGTTGAGGCTAAAATGAGCCGAGTTGCAGTTTGTGTCGTGGTTGTGGCGATACAGAGGCAGATCTGTGAACGTTTCAGGAGTAGAGCTGAGACTGGGGGAGTGTGCGGACCCTGTGCCGGTCCAGCAGACAGGACAAAGACTGATGGAGTGGAGGGATGCAGTGGATAGACTGTTGGGGGGTGGGGGGTCATCTTGATTTAATTGCCGGAGCAGTTTGGCCGACTCCGGTGGACTGGAATGTGTGACCTCCTCTGGTCTGGTTCAGTGTCAGACGTCGCTGTGGCTCGTGGGAAGATTCTGCTTCAGACTGTGGAGTGTCCGACCCCTGCCAAGTATCACAAGTGCTCAGTCACTCTCACAAGGAGAGGATCATGGAGTTTACAAAGCGTAAGAATACGGAGTATGCAAAATAAAGCCCCTGACTATTCAGCGCTGGACACTTTTACCAGTCCATATGCGAAGCAATTCATTAGTTTCTGTGCTTTGTATTTTTATGCTTTGGAAATTCACTCACTGTCACACTAAGTTAAGTTATAATGTGTTGTCATCGTAGAGAAATGTATGTGTACTTTGTTGTACCATCTACAATACTTGATGCTGATCACTTCTTTCCTGCCAATGAAATGTGAATCTGCATCATGAACCACATGTGATATTCTGCACACCCACATAAATACAATGGTTACTGTAAAAGTAAATATTGGTTTTATAAAGTTTGGGTACTTCAGTAAAACTATACAAATCCATAACAAAAGTATTCAGAGATAAATCGCCTAACGCCAACCCAAATTAATATAATATTTTTGCTCCGTCCAATCCCTTCTGAAACCAAATCAAGGGACGGAAAAATGTGTGATTAAGTGCGAGTTAACAATGGCATTAATGCGATTAATCACAATTAAATATTTGTATTGTTTGACAGCCCTAATGTATATATACAGTAAGTATATGTATATGTATAGTATATGCATTGATAGATTTAGTATGTATCTATGTATACAAAACATACATATATATACACAATACAAGTATTGTGCAATGTTTATTAGGGCCAAGTTCATGGTAAAATTGGTGAAGAAATAGTGGCGCGAGGTGCAAGCCTCTGATGGATGAGGAGTGAATTGACACGGTGTTCACAGCCTCTCCCGTCACCACAATGCCTCTTTCACTGGACCATATTGAATTTTATCCTTAATAAAACAGGCCCATCGGAGAGCTGTGTATTTGCTTTCTAGAGGTGGGACTTTCTGAGGGAGTGCCAGGGATCTAGTTTTTTAATTAAGCGTGCCGGACTTATGAGTGTGCATGTGTAGCCTGACGAGGAGGTCCATGTCTGACCCGCGCTGATAGCTCTGCTTTGTTTTCATTCTAAACTGGCCTCAATGTCGGTGCTTTGCGTCTTCAGCTCGATCCACTCCTCACCTCTCTTTGACCTTGATGCTACAGCCACACATACCTGCAATAATGGTCCTCAACATGATGACTTTGGACGCTTCACCATTTTAAAGCTTATCTCTCAAAAAAAAAAATCCATTGTCCTCCCAAACCCCTTCAAAATTTCAAGAGCTGTTGCAATTTAAACTTATTCCAAGGGCGACGTTTCTTGATTTGTCTTGTATATTTCTAAAACAAGACATTTTTGCTTGTCCCATTGGCAAATCTCATTATTATGCTGTCAAAATGTGATCAAATGAAGATAAAACCACTTTATTCAAGCATTTATTACCTTATATTTTATCATTTTTTGCAGTGTACACACACACTGTATTTGTTTAATGCTTTACTGTGAATAAAGCTTGTGGCTTTAGCTCCACCAGAAAAGACGCACATTAGATTCACTACTTAACCCTTGCAAATCACAATACAAAATCTTCGGCGACCACAGTAATCCTCATTCTGTAGATTCTGTCCTTGCATAACTTAAAAACCGTGCATCAGCGACCTGTCAATCATCTAACCAACATCATTGTCAATTATTGCAAATCTGTCCCGACAGCTTCTGTAAAAATAGCCACCCACTAAACTCAGCAGCCCTCTCATTATATCATTACCACAGTAAGCAGCGAGCTCTTGTACGCACTCCTCTTCTGCTTTCATTTTGGAGAGAAATGTAAGAAAAGCGAGAAGCAGGAGTTGTGAGTTTTTAGTGGGTGGTGCTGTGGACAGAAGAAGTGCGGCCATGAAATGAAGGGGAATCCCTGGTTTGCCTTTGTGCAGCTCCCGGCTCCATGACTCCAGGGGGCAGCCAGCTCAAGTGTTTGTTTATGTCTGTGGCCAGAGGGGAGCGACAGTGGCCATGTTCAACAGCAAGTTTATAGACTTTAATGAAACGTAATTATGCGGCACATGTTTGTGATCAAGAAGGAGCATGTTTTATTGTCTTGCTGTGTTCTGATTGTATTTTGATCTCTCTCTCTCTCTTTTGTATATGTTTCTTGGTAATATCTAAATATTAAAAAATGGGACAGAATAAAATCAACTACAATATGGATTATAGATTAAAACAATCTTAGAATTTCCAAATACTGACCCACAACGGCACATAATAAGACATAGTTTACTTTGTTGTCCCCGGTCATTTGTAATCTGCATTTATTAAGTAAGTAAATCATCCTTATTTATATAGCGCTTTTCACAGACCATGAGTCACAAAGCGCTTTACAATTGTGGGCATTTGTCTCTAACTCACACAGAGATGGGAGTGAGATTGCCATGCCAGTCCTATTGTACATGCTTTTAGTGGTAGGTGAAACCGGAGCACCTGGAGGAAACCTACGCAGACACAGTGAGACCATGGAAACTCCACTCAGAAAAACCCCGTTCCGACTGGGATTTGAAACCAGGATCTTCTTACTTTTCTCCCATGTTCAGATAGTAATGCTCGGCTTTGTCAGGACTATTATATCAAAGCTAAACGATTTTAACTTTTGGCCACATTTTGTGTGTTAGTGTTAGTTAGATACTTTATTGATCCCTTTAGGAGAAATGCTGGTGTCCAGTAGCAGCAACAACACATCCATCTACACAAATAAAACCAAATGAATGGTAGTAGTTAGTAACAGCACTTCAGGTCACAGCAGCAGAGATGGAGCCGCTTGGTTCGGACCATTTTCTCTGCTTTGGTCCAGAGTAAAATGCTGGATGCTTCATTAGCATTTTTCAAAAATTTAGCATTCCTCCAGTGGATTTTTGCCTGATCCGCTTGGTTTGGACCATGAATTCTCTCTGCTCTGGTCTGGACCAGTGTAAAACCATGAATCCTCTCTGCTCTGGTCTGGACCAGTGTAAAACCATGAACACTTTATTGCCGCAACATCTCAGGCAGAAAAAAGCAAGAAAAATGTCAATTGTAAAACACAAAACAACAACTGTTTCAGAGACACTTAGGAATTACTGCGGTTTCCAGAACATTCACAAGTAAATGAGTGTGTGGTGGGGGAAACCGGAGTACCTGGAGGAACACCCCCCAGACTCTACAGGGGAGCAGCGGCAGCACCAGACATTTCTTCCTGGGGGAGACAGGACTGGGCTGACTGTAGCAACTGCCTTTCTCCAAATACAGGCAAAGTGAGCCCAGCGATGATGCTCATTTTGGTTCCACATGCATCAATCTTTTGGTCAAATACAGGCCTTGAAGTCTTGCTCCTTTCCCCAGGGGTTGTTCTCCGTCATGGGTAAAGTACCGCACTATGATGAGCACATTAATGGTCTGGAACTGGAAATATGACTGTTTGTATTTACCCAACATTTAGATCCTTCCACTGACGTTGACACTCGCTGCTCACACCGGCGCCCATGTGCATGACTGTGCTCTCTCTGTGTGCCCGCTGGTACACGGACCATCACCACCCTAAAATAGTATGCGCTCCTAATTACTGCGGCAAACACAGGTGTGGAAAGCCAAGCCGTCCTCCGCCCCCAGACCCCAGTCCCAGCCCAGAACCACCATCAGCACACTGAAGCCTGTGTGTTTCTGTTTTGGATCAGAGGAAATCCAGACCCTCTTCCAGCCGTGTGTAATCCACTACATATGTTGGATACATTTACTTGAGTAACTGCAAACTGGACTTTTCTGAGCTGTTTACGTAATGACATTCGTTTTTATTTCTCCATTTTAGCCACTGCTGCATTTTATTATAAAAAGTAGCTTCCCTGGAAACTCAATGTATGTGGTAAAAGTAAGCTTCCTAGCCAAAACATGCTAATTTAAAAGTGTAATGAATGAATTTTGCCTCTGAAATGGTTGCAGTTGGGTATTTGTGTGTGTGTGTGTGTGTGTGTGTGTGTGTGTGTGTGTGTGTGTGTGTGTGTGTGTGAGACTTGATGTTTGTTTATGACCAATTCCAAAACCACACCTTTTTGAAGTCTGTGAGCGGTGCATTTGGGGTTTGGGCACGGGCACACAGCCGCTCTCCTGGCCGGCTGGAAACCTTATACTCCACATCAATCAGACAGACCACTCATAAATTATTCATTAGCCTGACATTTACACATTCCAGAACTGTCGCTGTGGGCCCTCGCTTCTGGTACTGATGCTGACTGGACATGGTGAAGGGTTGAAAACAATAGGATTTTGATTGATGTGAAGTCACTAATGTTGACTTAAAGATTGGTTATCCAGACAGAGAGGATGATGACTGTTATCTTAAAACACTTGATAATATTTTTGACATAAATAATTGTAAACAAAGGCTTCAATCAAATAACCTGACTTCCACTAGACCCTTGTAGTTCCGCCATGCTCCACCAGAGGCGTCGCTGAGCTCCACACAAGAATCTGGGATCAAGGGCAACACAAACTCCTTCAAGATAGCAACAAATAATGAACCAATCAGGGTTGCCGGGCGGGATTTCAAAAGATGTGACACAGCGGCGAAGCAACTGTTAAATCCAAACAATGGCGGCGGCAGCGAGGAGTCTTGGGCTGACATCGCTGTGTTGTTTCAGTAAAAGTTTGCTAACTTTTTGCTCTGTCGTTATCCAATATGTCTGTTCTGTTTATTGGTTTATAAATACCTGGGTTTTAGATTCAGTGAGTTCATGAGTTTTGATTGTGGAGTCAAAGTTCTTGCTGACTCTGCCAGCCGTGCTTTAGGTTCTGTGATAAACAAATGTAAAGTTTGTAAAGATCTTGGCTATAGAACATACTCTAAGTTGTATGAGGCCTGTGTTTCTCCTGTTCTAAACTATGCGGCT